GAGGGGAAATGAATGGGAGATGAAAGGTAAAGGGAAGATAGAGGCACTCATCCGTTGATGCAGAGATCACCGAACTCAAAAGAGGATCCAGAGAAAGAAAAAGACCGAAGGGAATTTAGGTGGAGCTTGAGAGTATGAGACTGCCGGAAAAACATCAAGTTCAAATCTGGTTGGGATAATTGAGGTTGTTTGACCGTGAACACGAGAATGGATGTGACTGCGGTGCCGTTACCATGGAAGCTAGAGTAGTAGGCCATTCATGTGCCCATCCGGCGGTGAGTAGTAGAGAAGAATAACGGAAACTGCTTCCAGAAGATCTCCACGAAGTTGGGGAGGGCATCAGATACCGTGAAGCGGGAGCCAAGATCACATGGTGTGGATGGGTGAATGGAAGCTCCAAGCAGAGATAAGCTGTTGAGCATCCCTATGAGAGCGACCCCAGCGTTTGCATAGCACAACCTTGTTGCGCTGACGGATAGATGCAGGAGGAAAACCGGCCATTCTTTAACCAAAACTGCAAACTGGGGTCATAGGACTTATGTGGTGTGAAGCGGTCCATGACAGTTTGGCATATGACAGAGTATCAATCACTTATTTCCGCGAAGGGATTTAAGACATTCACTGCGGTGTGCCTTATGGGTTGGTACAGGGCGTTCTTCAACATTGAGCCCTTGAATGGTTCATGCTGGGACATGGAGCGAGGAAAGTCTGCTGTTTTCCCTGGTGATGTTTCCTTCGGCTACGAGCCGTTGTTATGAGAGATACTGAGAATGGAGAGCATCGAAGCATTGGATGCCATGGTAGGGCGCTAGTGGTGATCGTATTTTGAACGCAAATGTATATCCCAGGTTCCCCTGATTTTTGTAGAAGTCCTTTGCTGCCAAACCCTTCTACAACCACTATAAATCTGAGACAGACATGAATAAAGCTGCGAAATACCGATTCTAACGTGTCGGAAAAAGACCCGAACCCATCACCAATGCCCCTCACCCTCCAATAGGCAAGACTTCCCCCTTAAATCCTTCTTCCCACGATTGCGTGCTCAGGACGGTACAGCAGATTTCTCGTTAGCGGAGCGGTACGATTGGCTCTCTATGGTTACCCGCGGTCTGCCACACAACGCCACTCATGCAGTTTGCCATAATGGTGGGATGGCAAAAGGCCTAAGGCTTGCCCTGGGCGTTCCGCAAGGAAAATATATCCTGAAGGATGGGAAAGGGAATAGCGGGGCCTTGATGCCGGGCGATGAGTCGAAGGCGGGATCCTCTGCCGATAGGACGATTAGGACGAAACTCTTAGCTTTCGTTGTCCCTCCTTTTAGACCCCGTTCCATGGGACTGTTGACCTCGCCGGTTTCTCCATTTAACTTTGAAACCCCTAAAGACACTCAAGGCTGTTCTGAATCGAGCTCAACAACACCCCTACTTCCGGGCCGTGGAAAAGGCACCAAAAAGCCTGAAAGAATGACCTACATCATCCAGCATGATGATACCCTTCATGTCGCTTCTAGCGACTGGTATTTTGGGCATGAGGCCTTGACTGTCATCTATCCTCCTCACATCAGTCATGCCGAGGACGAGAGAGATGACCAAGATTACCAATCCCCGTCGGTTATCCTCGTTTACGAAAGCGACAATGAGGACGGCAGAAGCATAGCTGGTGCAGATGGCATGAGCTCAGACTCTGATTCGGACAGCGAATATAGCGGATCGCAACGGGAGCATGTTTCCGACGTCACAACTATCAGCGTCTCGACTGGGGGCGATTTTAACGACCTCGTGACGCAGCATAGCGGACTGACTTTGGATGTCAGCTTCCCTTCAACGGTATCTGAGCGCGACTTGGGCAGCAACATGGAACTAGGGGTTCTTCAGCCCATGGTGAATGCCATGTTGGTTCCTGCCTTGGATCTGACTGGCGCGACCGACGTCCATTCGGATGATGAGGACCTAGGATGTACCCATGCGATAAGCGGAGTGGCCTGCCATTGTCTGACGGCTCGAAATCTTGATGCCGTCCAAGATATCTTGAAGGAGCTGCGAAGAGTCGAAAGTCGAGAGCTGAGAAGGCATGAGGCGACTGAGTGGCATCATCCGCGGAGCGAGCCGGACAGAAGAAGCGACCAAGCATGGGAAGAGTTAACAGTGGATCTCCTTTTCTAGTCGGACACCTTTATCGATGGACTTGTATTAGTAGCTAGAGGTTTCGGATACTGGGCGGTAAGTCTATTGTAAGGGCGGCTTCGTTTTTTGGTCACGACACGATGCGGTACCCGAGATCGGGGCATGGTTGGCGTGGAGATGACCTTGGACTTTATAGAGTCAAACAGTATAGCAGATCTGCTCCTTCGCTGGGCGATTAACGCAGATAAGGGAAGGACGAAGCAGGATAACAACGCTTGTTTTTGCTCGATATCGATCTAGGTATGTGATTAGCGTGCGGTTGACACTGGTATTTCGCCAACACGGGAACTTACATGAAAATTATAATAACTGGCCCTCCTCTTTCTCACAGTGCCCTAGACCTCCTATAGCCGATCGTCGGACTTCTTCCAGCCCACTGTGGACGTAACTCCTCCCACAGCCCCCAGAATGTTGTCGACAACGGACTTGATCAGGCCCTGCCCTCGTCTTGCCCTTGTACCATCACCACCGACGCCGCCAGCGCCACCGCTCGAAGAGGCCTCATTACCCATGGTGGGCAGGACATTGTCACTTGCCGACAAGCTGACAAAGAGGGCGAAAGGAACCAGCCATACGCAAATGCCGAAGTAGGATGCGATCTCGGTGAAGGTGGGAACGTTGGATGGCATGTCGTAGTAAGAAGTCATGTTTTGGTAGGCGCGCTCTTGGTGACGCGAGAAGTGCTTGAACCACAGGTAATGGTTGACGAGAACGAGGCCTGGCAGGGACAGCCAATGTCAGCAGATGCATACGAGATGAGAGAGTTGATGTGGGTTGAAAAGGGGCTTGTTTGCTCAAGCTTACCGCATGACAACACGAACAACGGGTCTGTCAATTTGACATAGGGGAACCTCCGCATATTACCCAGGTAGACGACATGGGAGCCAACACTGAGCAGTGTCAGGAAGAAGGGGAATCGGTCGACAAGGCATAGTAGAAGCTGGATGACGATGATGGTGTAGATAAGTCGAGTAAGAAAGCGCTTGGCAACAACGGTATGTTCTTCGACAACTTCGGACAGGTAGTATAGACCCGAGGCTGTGAGGCAATGGACGCCTTGTTAGCATGGAAATGCAGGCCGGTCTCCCGCAGCAGCTTCACGGAGCAAGACGTACCAATAGCCAGGGTCAGGAAACAGAAGCCCGCGATGGAGCCGAGATAGCCAACAAGAGGCAGAATCCACATGTTGAGATAGAAGATTGATTGGGTTGGAATTAGACGGGCATAATATGGGAACTGGCTGGTGGTAGGGAGGTCATCCAAGCCGAATGGCAATGTGTTATGGAGATGGGATGTTGTTTCTGGAGAAAGCTCAAGGCTGCCAAGTGGTGAGTGAGCCTGGAGACAACCCCTTGTGCCCTATGGAAGCTCCCGGTCCCTATTTCCCCGGAAGGTCACTGCTACTTACCCCTGACGTGTTCAATTAAACAGACCGTGTTTTAAAGTGGGGCGAGCCGTGACGGTTGCAAGCGAATGTCATCATGGGCTGGAATTGGCGGCCGTTAAGGTACGATAAGGAAATGTCGATAAGCTGCCGCCAATCCCACCAGCGATCGCCCTTGGCGGAACCCCAGAACAACCCCACTTCCAAAAGGGCCCATTGAAACTTTTTTGTGTCCCATCACACCGCTCGCCAGTACCAGCACCAGCACCAGCACCAGGCTGACCAGCAGCACCATCTTGTCAATCCATCCGCTGCCGGCGCATTTCCACTTCTGCTTGTCGCATTCCTCGACAGAAATCACTTCTCTCCTCTAGCCAGTCGTCAATTCCCTTGTTTCATAGTTGTATAGTCTCAATCCAGCCAGCCCAACATGTCTCGCCCCGAAGATACCCTGTAGGTCCACGACTCGACGACAGCCTCGCGACAAGCACTCCCGTCCTCCTCGTTTTGTGCCCCAAAGCTAACAACACCAGCGCGGCCGATGTCCACTATGACGACACCGAAGCTCGCAAGTACACTACCAGCTCCCGTATCCAGAACATTCAGGCCTCCATGACCCGTCGTGCCCTCGAGCTCCTCGACCTCAAGTCTCCCAGCTTCATCCTCGACATCGGTTGCGGCAGTGGTCTCTCTGGCGAGATCCTCTCGGATGTCCCCGAAGACGAAGGCGGCCCTCACGTCTGGGTTGGCATGGACATCAGCCCGTCCATGTTGGATACGGCTCTACAGCGCGACGTCGAGGGCGATCTCTTCCTCGCAGATATTGGCCAGGGCGTGCCATTCCGCGCCGGTTCCTTCGACGCCGCCATTAGCATCAGTGCCATCCAATGGCTATGCAACGCCGAAACCAGCGACACCGCCCCGTCCACCAGACTTTCGCGCTTCTTCAACGGCCTCTACGCCTCGCTCAAACGTGGTGGCAGAGCCGTCTGCCAGTTCTACCCCAAGAACGACGTACAAAAGCAGATGATCACTGCCGCGGCCGTCAAGGCTGGCTTCGGCGCCGGTCTGCTCGAGGACGACCCCAACACCAAGAACGTCAAACTTTACCTGGTCCTCACGGTCGGCAAGGACGCTACCGGTGGCAAGGACATCAGCACTGTCGTCGAAAACATGGACGGCGTTGATATCCTTGACCAGAGAAAGAAGGGCAAGGGCGGAAAGGGCGAGATCAAGAAGGGCAGCAAGGGCTGGATCATCAAGAAGAAGGAGCAGATGGAGCGCAAGGGCAAGATTGTCAAGGCCACCTCCAAGTACACTGGTCGCAAGCGTCGTATCCAGTTCTGAGCTTCGGGGTGGTCGGGTCTGTTTATCTCTTGTTCTCTTCTGCATTGGGAAGGCGTTTGGGTGGCTACGGCGATGAAAAAATATGTCTCTTTTTGTTCTGGATTTTGCCATTTCTTTTACGGCTGAAATAACGATACCCGGTTTCTTGATTTCACCCTACAGGAACCCCCCTTTTGCACCTTCCTACGTTCTGATGCTGAATCCCCCTTTAGATGTGATCCTCTGGGCCATGTCCGCACGGCTTCCCCTCGGTGATCTCAGGATAGACGGTATACTGGCGAGAGTAATGTGGCAAGCCTTCCTCATCGATAGTCACCTCTGTCGAAGCAACACTAATCTTGAGGTCCGGAACCTCCTCCAGATTATACTCATCGCCGTTGAAGAGGGCCACCTTCCACTTCAAGTTGGCGCGCAGATGCGGGACGACATCCTCAGGCTTGAGGCTCTGGAGCTCGCCGCCCACGATGTCCTGCAGCAAAGCGGAGGTCAGGGGCACGGTGCCTGAGACGATCAGACCGTTTGCGTTGTCCTTGCGGCACTTGCCACATTGGGTTTCGGCGCTCCGTCCCAACACGGACACACGACCGACGCAGTTGAACTCGTCGTCCCAGGTCTCTGGGTCGGGGTTGAACTCGCCCAAGAAGACGATGACACGGAAGGATTGCCCGAGACCGTGTTTCTGGGCGCGAACGTTGACGATCCAGTCGGTGTACTTGCCGTCTGGGGCGAGGTACTTGAGGCTCTCTGGAATTGGGCCTGGTGAAGCTGTCAGCTTGGATGGACGTTTTATGCTCAAGCCGATGATCATACCTGCGGCCGTGCTCGACTCGGTCTTTGTATCCTTGACAGGCACCACCGGCTTCTGCGCCTTCTCCTCAGCGTGCTGGAACACATTATGGACCTTCTCTGCGACCTCCTTGGCACCGGAAAGCTCAACTGCATGAGCAGCCGCCGCCGAGACGGTACTCTTGCTCTCCTCGCCAGTTGCCTGCGGCTTCTTCAACGCTGGCGTCCGGTCGGCGACATTCTCAACAAAGTTGGCAAACACATTGCTCCCGTACAGCGCCGTGACAGACTTCCTGATGGCTGCCTGGTACTCCTTTACGGACGAGTACTTCCACTTCTGCGTCTCAGGATACGCGTATCCGAAGGTGGTGCTGTCCTTGACCTGCTCAGAGGTCCAAAAGTTGGCAGCAGATTTGTCCCAGAACGGCTCCAGAGGTGTGCTCTTACTCTGGCTTTCACCCTCCTGTGCGACGAAGGTCGAGTAGGGAGCGGGCCGGGGAGTCATGAAGCTGTTGGGGTTAAGGTCTTGCCAGATGGACCAGAGGCGATCGACGTTACTTCAGATCAAGGGCTTCATGTCAGCGACGATAACGGAATGGGGCCTGTCAGGTGTGACCGATGAAAAGAAAAAAAGAAAAACAGGGAAAAGGGGAGTGACCACATACACATGGTGCAACCAAAACAGCGGATCAAAAGCCGACACCTCCAGGCTCGACATATGTCCATTTCCGCCCGTCCGATCATGAATCTCATTATGCACATCCTCCAAACTGCCGAAATCACCCGGGTTGGTATTCGGATCCCACCTGTTATAACTGAACGCATCAAAGTCCTTGTAGCTCAGCAACAACAGACTAACATTATTTCTCAACGACGCCAGTTCGTTCGCCAAGATGGGCGCAATCCGCTCATCCCGCGATGCCCCTGTCAGCCGGTTTGGATACCGGACCGTGCTCGGGTATCTGCTCCATGCCGCGCTGAAGTCACCCGGGCTAGGGTTGACCGGGTGGAAAGTAAACCGGTGCAGCGGGTTGTTGATGCTCTTGGTCTTCCCGTCGACATCCACCACCTGTATGGTACGCGATGAGAGGGACTCCGGAAACGCCAGCGTTCCTTTAGGAGGCTGACTAGCCCAGTCAAAGTACGGCGCCCTGAAATCCTTGGCGGCCGCAACGTACTTGGCTCTCAGCCCCCCTTCCGCAGGGAACTTTTGGGCTACGGCTTGCACGGAGGCGTAGAGAGCTTGCTCGTACAGGGCAAGGTAGGGCCTGTGCCAGGTGATGAAGAGGATGGACGAGTGCGTGCAGTAGCCGCCAAAGCCGCTGCTGCCGGGTTGGGACCAGTCCGTGTCGGAAGGGACACCGGCCCACGGCTTGAAGGGCATGCCGTGGATGCCAGCGACTTGGTAGTACGAGTCTAGCTTGGCTTCGTCGAGGCCTTGGAAGTCGCGCATGCCGAGAAG